GGGCCCGCGCGCTCGAGCAGCGCCACGCCGGGCTCCGGCGGCAGCTGGATGCCTTCCAGCGCCTGGGCGAGCTGGCTGGGCCCGAGGACGCCCTCGCCCGCCAAGTCGAGAGCAACCGCCAGCGCGCCCGGGACCTGGCTGCCGAGCGCACCCGGCTGGAGCGCCAGGGCACCGAGGCGCAGCGCGCGCTCGACGAGTTCCGGAGCAAGTAAGCGGCGGCCATCGGGGGAAACCGAGGCAGGGCGTGGGCCGCCCTGGGGGCGCGGGGCTGGGAGCACGCTGCTACCCACGCAGGGGTGGAGGTCCGTCTCTGGTCCCCTGTCGATCGATGACCTCATCCATGCATGCAGGTGGCACATTTCCTTAAGACTAGCTTCTATTTTGATGACACGTCAGTTTACACTAAGTTGTATCATTTACTTTTCATCTATTTTTAAATTTAGATATAACTTGCATGTTATAAAATGCACATATTTTAAGTGCATAATTCAGTGAGTTTTGACAAATGTATATACCCGTGTTACCACAAAACAAGTGAGATATTTCCACTACCCCTGAAAGTTCTCTCCTCCCCTTTCCCAGTTAGTCCCCTTTGCCCCAGACCAGAGGCACCCGTTCTGATTTCTATCACCATAGATTGACTTTGCCTATTCTACAGTTCCACAAAAATAGAATCTTACAGCAAGTATTCTATTGTCCGGCTTCTTTTGCTCAGCACATTGTTTTTGAGATGTACCGGTGTTATTTAATCCTTACAGACTTATCTTTACCGCACCTGTTTTACAGATAAGGCGACTGAGGCTCAGAAAATGTAGGAATTTGGGGCAAGTCCCCTCAGCTAGTGAATTACTGTCCCGGGACTGGAATTTAGGTGTTGGGCATGTTAAGTGTAATTGCCTTCATGGCATGGCAGCTGACACCTGGGAATTAGGCTCACTATGTGTCCTGTAGGGTCTTGATACTCAAAGTGCAGTCCATGGACCAGCAGTATTGGCATCACCCGGGGGCTTGCTAGAAATACAGATTCTTAGGCCCATCCTAGAACTCCAGAATTAGAATCTGCATTTTAACAAGCTCCCTAGGTGATTTGCAGTTTAAAAAGTTAAATGTTGAAGACTAAGAAGCACTGGTCCAGGGCATGGTCTCCCCTCCCACAGATTGAGTAATGTGTTAAAATCACATAGGAGCTGTTTAAAAAAATACGCAATTTGTCAGCATTTTTTCAAGTTATAAATGTGTGTGCTCTTTGACTCAGAAGGCCACTTCGAGGAATTTATTATAGGATGCACTCCAGCAGGTATGAAATGGCATGCCTGTAAAGATACTCACTGCAACAGGTATACTGCAACAGGTACACTCCAGCAGGTACACATTTGCAATGGCATGCCTGCAAATATACTCACTGCAGCAGGATCTGCAATAAGCCTGGAACCAAATAAATGCTCATTAATAGGAAACAGGCGCTTCCTCCATGTAATGGAATACTGTGCAGTGGAAAAAAGTATGTTATTGTCATTTAGTTTTTTAAAAAGGGAGAAGAGTAGAGTTTTTTGTTTTTTGTTTTTTTTTCTTGCATAAAAAGAATTTCAGGACACACACAAAGACACACACACAGACACACACATAGGCACATGCCCCAATGACACTGGCTACCTGAGGGGGATAAGTGAGTAGGAACTGGGCAATTGGGAGACAGAGGTGGGAAGGAGACTTTTAACAGAATGTCTTTTTATGTCTTTTAAAAAATTATTTAACTGTGGTCTGGGTGCAGTGACTCACACCTGTAATCCCAGCACTTTGGGAGACCGAGGCAGGCAGATCACTTGAGGTCAGGAGTTCGAGACCAGCCTGGCCAACATTGTGAAACCCTGTCTCTACTTAAAAAAATACAAAAATTAGTTGGGTGTGGTGGCACACGCCTGTAGTTCCAGCTACTCGGGAGGCTGAGGCAGGAGAATTTGAATCTGGGAGGCGGAGGCTGCAGTGAGCTGAGATTGTGCCATTGCACTCCAGCCTGGATGACAGAGCAAGACTCTGTCACAAACACACACACAATTATTTAACCATGTAAGAGATTCATCCATTTAAAATTTCATAAATGAATTTTAAAATACAGATGTTCAGGCCCTACCCTGGACCTCAAGTGGGGTCCAGAAGCTTAAACATTTTTAATGAGTGCCACTGGTCATTCCAGCCAGATTTGGGAACCCCTGGTATAGGGTAGTCAGAGGATTTCTCCAAACCTGCTCTATATTTGAGTTCCAGTTTCTCAATCTGAATCCTGGGCAGGTTATTCAATATTGTGTTCTGTACACATTTATTAAATCACATTTATTGATTCGATTCCTGTCAACTCTTTTGAGGTTTAATCTATAGAAACAGACTTGGAACTGGTAGAAGGGACCTGAAAACCCACTTGTTACGGCACTTCATGGGGAAACAACCTGGGAGACAGCCTGTGGGTGGTAGAACTTGAACCTGGGTTTTCTCACCCTGGGCCTATGCTCTTTTGGGAACACTGTATCTTGAGAGAATGTGTTCTTGGACTCCTGCAGTGTAAGGCCCAGAAATAGGACCTCATTCAGATGAAGCTCATGTTCTCCAAAGCAAAGGGGGAAAGTGCCCTGTGGCTTAGACATCCAGGGCAGCTTAATGGGCCATCAGGATTCCCTGGATGGCCTTTGTATTAGCATTAGACCATAGTCTACTGTACTTTGGCTGGCAAACATGACATCCATGAGTCCTAGTTGAAGGAAACGCCGTGTTGGCTTTTCCTGGTCTTTACTGATTGCACTTGGTTCTGAGTTATATGCCCATCATGAAGCAGTTCCTTCAGGCTCTGTGATTTATTTAAAATTCATATTAATTTATTCTCTCCCTTTGCCCCCTTGGAGAAGTTTTGACATTTGGATTGTGGTAGTCGGAATTGCAAATCATTATAGAAATCACGCTCATCCACATCCATAGGCACACACACATACACATACAGGCCAAGCTTGAGTTTACATTCCAGAGGTGAGTTGATGGCTAGCTAAAGCCAGGGGAAAATAATGCAGCAATGGGCTACTATGTGCAGCCTTGGTTCCATGCTAGCGCTAGTCATAATCTCTACCTGGCAGTTGAATAATTTCAAAATCAGGTCTTTAACAGGTCAAAGACTAAACGAAACACTAAATAAAGCAAGAATGAAATAAAAACAAAACTATCAAAATACAATGACAGATTCAATTATCCAAATCGTTGAAAACTAAAAATAATTTATGTAAAACAGTTAATTTAAGCCAGTTTTTTCCTTTTATGAATATACTTATATGGATATATACATTATCATGAATTCTTTGTAGTGAAATCTCTCTCTCTCTCTCTCTTTTTTTTTCTTTTTTTCAAGACGGAGACTCGCTCTGTCGCCCAGGCCGGAGTGCAGTGGGGCGGTCTCCCCTCACTGCAAGCTCCGCCTCCCAGGTTCACACCATTCTCCTGCCTCAGCCTCCCCCGTAGCTTGGACTACAGGCACCCGCCACTAAGCCTGGCTAATTTTTTTTTTTTTTTTTGTATTTTTAGTAGAGTCGGGGTTTCACCGTGTTAGCCAGGATGGTCTCGATATCCTGATCTCGTGATCTGCCCGCCTCGGCCTCCTAAAGTGCTGGGATTACAGGCATGAGCCACTGCGCCTGGAAATCACTTCTCTTTAATATAATATCTAGACTTGTCTTTACAGCATGAAAATTACCCACAATATCAGGTTAATATGTTGATCGTCAAACGTGTTCTTAAGCTATGGAAACTCTTAGATATTTCCAGTAGGAAAGAGCAATGAGAAAGTTAGATTTTATTAACAGTTTTATTCTCAAAGCTAATAATACACTCAAAAACTAAGTTCTGGCTCTGTTAGGGCAATACACAAAATAAACTACTACATGTAACATCCTGGTATGAAATGTAAAACTTGTGCAGAGATGTTTAGCTTCCTAGATGGAACTCAGCTTCGCAGATGGTTTTAGATCTGGGAATGTGTACACATTGCACATATTCATAATTGTTCTTCCTTCAGTTCAGGACTTTTTTCCTTCTGAGAACACAGTGGTGTGATTTTGTAGCATCTTTCATGATTGCAGAATACTTGACTTGAACCCATGGCATGGGCATGCAAGGGCACAGAAAACTATGCTTTGTGGGTTGGGCTCAGTGTTAATTAGGATTGCTTTCAACTATAAATGACATAAACTCCAAACTGACCTTGGCCCACTTCAGACCAATTAGGATGGCAACTATAAAACAAACAAACAAACAGAAAATAAGTGTTTGTTAGGATGTGGAGACACTGTGGACTGTAAATGGGACTGTAAAAGGGTACAGCCATTGTGGAAAACAGTATGGCAGTTCCTCAAAAAATTAAAAAATAGAATTACCATATGATGCAACAATTCCATTTCTGTACATATACCCAAAAGAATTGAAAGAATTGAAAGAGGGTTTTGAATAGCTACTTGTATACACATGTTCGTAACAGCATTGTTCACAACAGATAGCTTCCTAGATAGCTCCCTAAAATGTAGCAGCAACCCAAGTGTCCATCGACAAAGGAATAGATAAATAAAATGTGGTGGATACATAGAATATTATACACCCTAAAAAAGGAAGGAAATTCTGACATATGCTACAATATGGTTGAAACTTGAAGACATTATGCTAAGTGAAATAAGCCAGTTACAAAAAGAAAAATATTGTATGATTCCACTTACATAAGGTAGTTGGGCTAGTCAAATTCACAGAGACAGAAAGTACAATGGTGGTTGCCAGGGCTGGGGATGGGGAGAATGGGGAGTTAGTATTTAATGGGTACGGAGTCTCCGCTTTGCAAGATGAGGAGTTACAGAGATGGATGTTGGTGGTGATTTCACAACATTATGAATGTATTTAATATCACCAACTGTATACTTAAAATGGTTAAGATGGTAAATTTTATGTCATGCGTATTTTACCACCCCCGCCCCCCCACACACACACACAGAAAAAAAATCAGAAAAAGTGATAGTGGCTTACCCAAAATGTCATTGGCTTATCCAAAATGTTTCTCGCTTGTGTAAGGTCTGGTTAAGCAGTTTAGTATGATGCTCTACAGTATTTGGGACGTGGAAGGTTCTGTGTGGCCTTCAGGAAGGCAGCATTCATGTTTCTGGCTGCAGGATGGAGGGAGGGATGGAAAATGAGAAGCAAAGGGCACACATACACCATTGCTTACTAAAGGTATCTGAAAGCTGCCATGCAGACTTAGGCTTCCATCCCATTGGTCAGGACTTTGTCACATGGCCACACCTGGCTGCAGGGAATGCTGGAAAATGTAGTCTCCCTTCTAGGCAGGCCTGTGCTTGCCAAACATCAAGGGCTCAAACTCCTGAAGAAGGCGAGAATGGGCATTTGTGGGTCACCTTATAGGGAACAAGGGGAGGAGTCATTTAGGAAGGAATCTTCTCTCTTCAGGGTTAAAATACCCGCAGAGGGAAACCTTCATTCTGACCAGAATGATTTCTGAAGTCTGTGCTTCCCCAATCCCCATCATTTTCTAGAAGTCCAGAAAGAAATTGACTAGGAGAAAAAAACCAAGTAACAAACAAACAAAAACACCTGCTCCTAGTATTTGTTGCTTTCTTAATCTTGTGAATGTTTAAATTGGGGGAGTTCGTTTCTCTATCCAGACAATATAGCATGGTTATCAAAGCACAGTTTTGGTGTCTAACTCAAGTCTCAGGTCTGACTCCACCCTTCTCTTAGTTTGGAGTCCACCAGAAGCCAAGCCTGAGACAGGAGTTTGAGGGCAAGTGGCTTCTTTGGAACATGTCCTCGGGGAACACCAGTAGGGGAGTTAAGAGGTGAGACAGGAAGGGAAGACAGCCAGTGTTGAGTGCACTAGCAAGCAAGTTCCCATCATGGGCAACTGGAGCTCCACTTGCTGGGTATAGAACGTGCCTCAGTTGTCCCAGCTGAGCAGAAAAGGAGCTAGGGTACTTATGCTCCAATTTGCCTCTTTCAGAGTTTGGGGGCTGCTCCCAGAGGCCCTAACTCCTTGGCATGTCCAGCCTGCCCCACCCACTTGCCCAGAGGAGGCTGTCGCTGTGTGGGGAGTGATGCTGCTAGGAGGAGGGGGAAGTGTTGGGAGCATCTGCCTGAGTTTCCTCATCTTTAACGCAGCACTAACAATAACTGCTTTCTTCTAGGGTGATGTAAGGATTAAATGACATAATCTGGAAAAATTGACACATTACATGTGTCAGCAAATAAAATAGTATAGGAAATCCAAGTACGGTCAGGTTAATAGTGGTGTAGATTGTGCAGGGCAGTCTCCCATCTCTGCCACTGCTGCACTTGGGTTTTAGATAGGCCAGGATATAATTCCCTCGTCCTTGGGGTGGCTGGGAATAAGACTGTAGGGGCTGGGGTTGGGGCCTTCAGGCTGGGAGTCTCCTATTCGGCTAACTGCCCCAGGTTACTCCATGCAGTTTGTAAATGTTACCACTTTCTGATTGGGAGGCAGTTGGCTAGGAAATGCAGCATTCATTAGCTACTACTTTAAAATTAAGACCCTCTCCTTAAAGGAGAGGGCATCGTACCCAGGTTGAATTTAATGCTGATTATGTGATCCATACATATGAAAGCACGGTAGCCACCCAACTCTCACTTACGTGTCCAATTTGCAGGTACGAAAATGAGTGTGAATGTCAACTCCTGCTAAAAGAAATGCTTGAACGGCTTAACAAGGTGAGCGGAACACATCCTTGGGCTTATGTAGCTTAATTACAGTATTGAACGGAATGGTGGAAGTGCATGTTTTACATGCTTCTCTTTGTGTTACTTTAGCGGTCACTACTTCTTTTGCAGTCACTCTCTCTCGACTTGTTAATTTCAACTGCGTGTTTGTGAGTGAACTCACACACCCATACACACACGCCTCTCTCCTGGGAGAAACACAGGCTATGAAGCTTGTTGGCTATGCTAGGCTAGCAAAACCTGCTGGCGTCACAATGACAAGAGGCTGTTTTACCTGTCATACCGATCCCCAACACCGAATTTAGGAAGGACCTTGCTTTGGGCAGTGGTTATTTGGACACAGCGATACCTCTGTCCTGTTGGCTAAGAGTTTTGAGATTGCTGCTCCACAGGAGAAGTCTCAAGAGAACAGAGGAAGAAATTTCTACTTCCCCTAGAGCGCCCTCTTATAGCATGACCAATAGCCCCAGGGGAGATGCCAGGGGTTCTTAGCCACTTGACTTTCCTACAGGGTTATGTGGAGTTGTTCTTTGCAGAACAGGGGTGATTTCCTTCTTGGGATTCTTCATCATCATTCTCACTAACTGATTGGATTTTCTGCTTTTGCAAGGAGAATCCCACCACCAGAAAGCAGAATGATTCTGGATCACCAGGGTTGTACAGAACCAGAGATGGCAGATAGCTTTAAGCATGGCCCTTTTCTGATCATTTTTGAGCTCAAATATCACAGCGGAATGATCCATGGAGACTATTTAGTGGAAGGGCTGCTTAATTAGGGCACATGGGCTGCCCTTCCCCACCCCTTCCATGCCTACAACTCATCAAAATTGCTGACAAAACCGCAGACTCTTCCCTGCCATGCCCAGGGAACTCCAGGCAGCCTCTTCGGACAGTCAGGGTTAGCACGGGATGTTTGCCGTCCCTTCACTTTGTCCAGCCTTTGCTGTTTAGGATTACTCTGCTGGTTGAGGGGAAAATCAGAACTAGAATCTAGGGAAACCCAGTTTTGCTTTGTCTATGTTACCTGCCCCTCTGCGTGTGAGCACGTATAATATGTTCAAACCAGGACAGTGTGCGAAAGAGGGTGCTGTCCGTAATTACACAAGTCAGTCAATGCAGGCTGGGACTGTCTCAGGCCAGCTAGTAGGACACGTGGGCACCCTAGATAAAAACACAGAGATGGCAGTGAGAATGCGCCTCAGGAGGGCCCTGAGGACACACGCTCAATAGTTGGCCTAGAGAACGATGGCCTTGAGCCTGTTGGACGTCTGAGCTGGGAGCTGGGAGCTGGGAGCTGGGCCTTAGTAGTGTCTGGCGTAACCCTGCTATTCTGTTGACACCTGTAGATCATCCCCATTCTTCTCTTTGGTGGCAACCTCAGACTGCCAGAACATGGCCTTCAGACACGGGGCCCTAGCATCCTTCACAGCACCCTGCAGGCCCTCCCAGGCCCTCTCCCCAACACTTCCACATGTTGTCTTGTGAGCATCTGTCCTCACTGCATGCAGGGCTTTCTCCTCACTTGTCACTCACGCAGTGCCATCCTGGGTACTCTTCAAATAAAGGGGAGAAAGAATGGGGTTCCTCTTTTATCCTTGATGGAAAATGACAGTGAGTTTAAAAAACAAGCTTAAACTTTCTGTTGTTTTTCTCTTTTTTTACAAAAGCGATCCATATTCTCAGTAGAAAAAATAAAGCAACATAGATAATGAAAAATAAGGAAAAAGCATCGCATAGTACACCTTTATGTATATTGTGACATAGAGTGTGGACATTTGAAGTATCAGCTCTGTAAGAATATTATGAAGGTTCTGGGGAAAGATGCTACCAAGAATTTGGGTGACGCCAGCACAGGGAATTGGCATGACTGGCCCCTGAGTCCAGGTAAGACAGTACTGCCCACAAGTGGGCTGCACAGCCCCAACGAGGAGTGTAGCCTGTGATTAGGAACCTCCTGCTACTGCTGAGCATCTGCGAGACTGTGGGCCAATTGCCTTGTCCCTCAGAGCCTCAGCTTCTTCATCTGTGAAATGGAACCACAATACTCCCCACCCACCACAGGAGTGAAAGTCAATGTGCCTAGTGAGAACTAAATGATGTAATAATGTGTATGACTTGCCCATCACCTGGTGGCGCTCAATCCCCAGTCACTGTTATTACAGAACACTTGATGTGATAGACACCAGCTTGATTTTCTCCACAGTGTGGGTGCAGAACCCTGGTGAAATGGCAGGTGACTTTAGAAAGTGCATGGAGGAGTGATATTTAATACTTGTGAATTTTTTAGGATTACCTGTTATTTACAGCAGATGACATATAGATTTCCAAACAAATCTACGTAAAAATGAGTACATTTAAAGACAAATACAGAGTGAATAAGATGCAGGTAGTCCTTGGATAATAGTAGAATTCATAAACACAGTAGGCAGATGCAGGGAGCTGGGGAGGGCTTTGTGCAAGCCTGTAGGAGTCTCAGAACAGCCTGTGGTTATTGGAGGGGCAGGTTTTATTCTCAGAAATGACCTAGTCCAAATTCTTCTCTGGGCCAGTGAGGAAACTCACCCTTGGTGAGGTGAAATGACTTCAGAGCCTTGCAGCTCAGCTGCAATAAGTGTAGACAGGAGTTGGGGTCTTTTGTGTTTGTGGTTCATTCTCCACCTCCAAAGAATAGTCAGGGAATCGATGTACTCAGAGGCCAGACACGAAGCCAGAGAGTTCTCGGCAATAGGTGGCCCCATGGACCTTGATGTTAGTGTCCTATCCACATACCCTGGGCCATCCCAGTGGTCACTCAGACATGCTGAACACCCCGATCACTGCCTGCATCTCAGGCTCTGGGAACATACATGGCCCACATGAGTACAGTCCAGAAGCTCTGGGTATTAACACCTCAGGAACAACCGTCAGCTGCTGTGGACCGGGATAGGTGGATAAGTTCCCCATCCCTCCTAGCAACAGTTCAGAGTCGTGTTCCACATGGTCCCTCAGAGGGACCCCAGCAGGACTGAGCTGTCTACAATGGCAACCTGCTCATCACACTCCTTCATTGGTTCCCTTCCCTGGCTCACTTCCCTCCCTTCCCTGTGCCTCCTGGGATTACCTCCCAGATAAGTCACAGGTACCCAGTCTTTGCCTTGGGGTCCACTTCTGGAGAACCCAAATAGTCCCTCAAGGGCAGGACCAGGTGAACACTGGACCTTTTTGTTCTCTGCTGAGATCATCAGATGACATGAAAGAGCCTAAAATTCACATCATGTCAGCTGGTCCTGTGAGTGGTTTTGGCCTGCAGGTTTTGGGTATTTTCTTACATCAGATCAACGAGGTTTTACCTCAGTCTCAGTGCCCATTTCCTTTGGTCTCACTTGTGGAAGGGATTCATCCCTGGATGTGGCCATGGGACATCACTGACCCAGTCTTTGCATCCTACTTGGAAGACAGCGCAATGTATATGAAAGGACTGATGGCCCCTGCCTTCACAAACCCACCATGCATTTCTTCATGCTGCACATGTAATCAAGCCTACAGAAAGAGCTCCTGTAGTTTTATCAGCCAGATAAGTTATAGCGGGCCACTCTTCGCTATGCACTTGGAAGTGAAATAAACTCCTCAACACGTTACCTACAACCTATGGCCAAAGTTATTCAACTTCTCAGCCTTTTGATGTAGTAGGAATTCCAGGCGACTTTAAAATATTTGGGTTTGCTAACTTCTAGAACTCATGGTCACCAAATATATACATATGAGATTACTGGTCTGCTATGATGCCTGATTGGCTTATCTTAAGGAAATTGTAAGCAGCAGACTTTAAAATCTTCCTCTCTTTTTTCTTTAAAATTCCCAGAATTTTAAAATGATGTGGCTTCTAGTCAAATGCTTTCACTTAAAAACAATTTTAAAAATATTCAAAGGCTGACATATGCGCTTTTTCATGTAATTCATGTGTCTCTAAAACGTGCCTGCGGAAAGTAGCAAGAGGCCAGGGAGTTTAGGGGATAAAATGGTGCGGGCATGGAGCCCTACCTTCTGGGCTGTGCCTTTTTATGTCCAAGAATTCCTCTGAGTCCGGAAATGAACTTCCAGAGAAGGAGATGAAACTGGGAAGGAAGAGGAGGAGTCTGGGGGTGGAGAGGCAAGGGGAGCAGAGGAAGAGTCAGGATGAATGCAAAGGGAGAGAGAGCAAAGTTGAGGAGACTGAGGCAGAGGCAAGAGAGAGGGTGGAGAGATGTAGAACTTGCCCACTGCCCTCCTTCAGGCCAGCATTAGCACCTGGAAGAACAACCTTAGCATTTTTGGAAAGGTGTTTGACATCCAGAGTTGGAGGAAAAGTGTTTTTTAATTAAATTCCAGCTAACTAGAAATCTTAATGAACTTAAATACCCATTCTTTAGCAGTTGGGTTTTTTAATGGAGTTTCTGGATCCCTGTGAATAGGTAAGTGAGGCTGTTTTTTTTTTCACCCTTTTTAATCCCAGACATTTGAGTTAAAAAGGGCTGATTTTCAATAATGTTCCAAATTCTAGTTATTTCTCCAGCTCCTTTCTAAAAACATGGCTGTAAATAGTCTAGATTAGTGGTTCTAAAACTGCAGTGTGCATCAGCGTTACCTGGGGTGCGGCAGGGGTGGGGGGCACATTAAAACCCAGACTCCTGGACCTCAGCCCCAGAAATTCTGAGCCAGTAGGTCTGGCATCTGCTGGAGTATTTACATTTCTGATCCGTTCCCAGGTGTTGTGATCCAGGGACCACATTTTGAGGGCCACTGGTCTAGATCTAGGACACAGGCAATATCAGGGTTGGAATGTTTTGTAAAATTAGACTATTGACCCATAATCTCAGTTCAGAAAAATCTAGATGATTCTGCTGGTGAAGCTTCTGAAAATTCAGCTGACAACATCCACAGCATAATAAAAACACAAGCGTCTACACATTTCTGAGTTCTGGCGCAAACAAAAGAAAACACTTCCAAAACAAATTTTCCTCAATGTATCAGCA